CTACCTTCTGCATACAAACAGAAAAGTTGTTCGATGCAATTCCTCATGCTGTTCCCAGTTAGAAGTTAAAAGTAAAATAAGCAGGTGTCAGAGTCCAAACACAGAAAAAGGACATAAAAAATACATCATCAATTTCTACTACCAATGGAGTGCTACTTGATCCAGTTTACCATACACAACCATCCAGTATTAACTCTCACTATTAAAATACTGGTTATGTTCAACACAATACTGAACTTTAGTACAGAGTATGTTATTATTCTGAGTTATACAATGACTTTTATTCTGGATATTATTATTCTGACATCTCAATACTGTCTCATCGGCAACTGTTTACTTCCCTTTATACTATTTAATGTGAGTGCTTTTAATAGAGTAGGCTGCAGACACACAAAGTCTGCATTTCGTTTATCCATTAGAAGTCTGTCACTTAATAATTTTGAGGCTTCACCCTCAAAAGGATCCTCTTCAAAGACAGTGTATTCCTGATTTGAATAGCAGCTTTGTTTGCTATTTACCTTTAGTGTACAGTATATTCAAAAGGACACATTGCATGCATACGTTCTGCTCGCTCTGAGTTCAGCCCATCATGGAGACAAGCACCATCTCTTTGCAATTATAATTGTCAGTTCATCTGAGTGGCTCATAACATGTCAGGATCCACTTCAAGAACATGATAAATAATTCTTTTAATATCCAGTCTGAAGATGAATGTACTCCTTTGAGCATTTCATCACATGGCCTGCAAAAAGAAGACTTTCCTCCCAGCTCCCAGTGTGTTCTGTCAGCTGAAACACACTGCATGAAATGAGCTCTGTCTGAACTAACATATGGTTTCAGTCCTGCAAAGTCTATTTCCAGGTACTCTGTGTGTTGTATCCAGCCTTACCATGCAGTGGCAAGTAGCTCCTCGTACATTAATTGTTCAAGCCTCTGCTACACCGCAACAGGTTTTTTCACAACAGAGATTTTAGCATTTAAAAGCAATGTTTTATTACTCAGTAAGTTGTTCAGTAGACTTGTCTAGTAATTTGTCTCTAAAAAGCTATTATTCACTGAAACGCAATGAAAACAAAGCCATCAGCAGCACGTTCGTGCCGTGTTAGAAACTGTCTGCAGTTTTTAACAAGCAGAAAAGCCAGGCAAAGGAAAGGATTGGTGTGTCCAAAACAATAAGGGAGTTCTTCATCAGAATGAGGTATAGAAATGTGCCCCAAAGAAAAAGGATCACCCTGACCACAAGCAGCCCACTCCAGCAGGATGCAGTGCTACGGGCACACTGCAGCCTGACGTCTATGAGTACTCAGCACAGCTCGATCTGCACACAGCCACTTCATCTGGCCAATCACCTTCTAGACATACAGCATCTCATTCTGCAGTTACACAGAAATCTCAGTAGTGACCCCACAAACTACCAATAAGCAGTTGCCTTAATGCACTACTGCTTTGCTGCTGCTTTTTTTTTAATGTCATGAAGTCCTCTTGAAGAACTGATTTCCAGTTTCAAGCTCATTCTCCTCTTCAGATGATGTTTTTATAGACCAGGCAGAAAACCTTTGCACGGGGACTAATTCTGAATGTCTAAATCATTCCTTCCCTAAATTTGCAGTCAATGGGTATTTTAGCTCAAAATGAATACACTTAGCATAATCTAAGCAGGTAAGAAGAGTAAATATCACTCTAAAAGGAAAACTGCATACACATAAATATTTAAATAAATGATATCTACAGAGACATTTATCATATTTTCTCTAAGTGTAAGTCATCCTTTGTGTATTTGAACTCAGTTACAAATGGTCCATCACTAGCAGACTGAGCTGGGTGTAAGCATTTCACCACAGGAGGGGGATTCATGAGCAGGCATAAATTTCACCCCTTAACAAGGAGAATACGCAATCTAATTTGATCAACAATAATCAAATTTGTATAAATTTAGCAAATGAATTCCACAGAGGACAGAACTTCAGTAGGTGAGATATACATAAACAGGCAGTTTTACATCCAAGGGAAAGAAACACACCATGGATCTCATAACAGTGTAGGAATGGTGGGGTTAGGCAGTCAGAGATTCTTTCAAATCTGCTTGAAAGGCACTCCAAGGGCCCAATCCTGCAGCTCCTACTGAGACCCTTAGTCTTTCAGTGAGAGGTTTGTTTTCCATGAGTTAGAAATGCAGGGTGGCTTGGGTTTACTTCAGATAGGGATAACAATTGTCACCATAGATCTTATGAGCAGAACCCAAGTTTCTGTTTTCATTTTGCATGACTATGCTTAGAAACTTTTTTAAACAATGAGCAGCCATGAAAGAGCAGCCTGACTGCTTTATGGGGATGACACAGAGATCCCAGTTTAGGCACAACCCACACGTCAGAAGTTCTTTTTAAATAGGTTTTGTGCCTGAGATTGATCTGAGATTGATAATACCAGAAACTAAACTCCTTTATCAGCAACATATTAATAGCAATGCCAATTTCCATTCACTCTCCTGTCAGCACCCCTGACTGAGTTGGAGAGATGCCTCTCCTTGGAGGTAAATGGAGAGGAAATGTGATACATCCTCTGTCTGCTGGATGCCACCAAGAAGGAAATGTGATCCATGGGGACATGTCCCGCTCCAGCCAACCAACTTATCTCCCATGGGCAGCTGGCTTTGGGTGAAAAATGTTTGGCTCTTCCTCTGTTGGCATTAAAAACCACCCAGAGGTACTCTCCTCTTAAGCCTCCCATACCCTCTTAAGCCCGACAGAAAAGAATCAGAGCAAGCAAAGCCACACTTCATCCTCAAAGTTTTCTCCTAATGGTGGTGAATAGTTATAGGAAACAAAAGGCACTTTCCAGGATCTCTAATTTCAAACGAAGAAACAACGCATTCCAACAGATAGCCCATAGCTGATGCCACCCAATCAGAGCCCCAGGCACCATCCACTGTGTTCCCCTAGCTCCAGCCTCACTCTGCTCTGTGCCGGGAACCACAGCAGAGCCCTCGGAGTGGCCGCTGAGCCCTGGAGGGGGTGGGCACATGGGGAGGGCACGGTACAGAGCACCTGGACAAGAGCCACTCACTGCTGTAAAGAAAGTAGCTACCTCAAGGGGTTAAAAAAAAAATAATGCATCAGGCCGAAAATAGCTGAGCAACCTGCGGTCGCAGCTACCCAACCTGCCCGATTTTCTGCCCGGTTAGCACAGCAGTAGGTGCGCCTCGGGAGACCCAAGAGCTCTTGAAAAGTTTGGTGGGTGAAGGACGGGATGGGGGGGCGGGGGACCGGGAGGAGCCGCCGGCAGAGTGAGAGTCACCGCTGTCCTGCGGGCACCGCGGGGCTGGCGCAGGGGAAGTGCCGCGGAGCAGCAGCGCCTGTTGCCCAAATACCGGCGGCCCGGGCGAGCCTTCCCCAGCAGCCGCCACTCAGCGCGGGGCCGAGATTTCGCATCCCTCCTCTAAGAGCGGAGCGGCCGGAGGGGGACCTCTGACCCCGGCCTGCCGTTTGCTCCCAGGGATGCGGGCTGGAAGGGTTGCAGACCACCCGGGCCCTGAACCCTTTCCCGGAGCATCGCCCCTCAGCTCAGCTCCGCTCCGCGCTGCGCTCACGGCCCTGCAGGAGCCGCCCTCCCCCGGCTGCCCTGCCCCGGCCGCCCCAGGGGAAGCTGCCTCCCCCCACCTCCCCAGGCTCGCTGCAGCGCCTAAGGGGAGCGGAGCCCGCGGGAGCTGAGCGCTGCGGCTGCTCCCCAGCCCCCAGAGGGGCATTTCGGCCTCTTTGGTATTCTGAGAGGTGGCCGCTCCCTGCTGCAGAGCCGGGAGAGAACAGGAGAACCTGGGGAGGTGGGGGGCCAATAAATCCGCCGAGACGCCCACCACAGCTCCGCAGCGGAACCGAGCTGGGCAACGCGAGAGCCGGGGGCGGAGAGGGGTGCGGGCTATCAGGGCTGCCGCTTGTTGGTGTTGGGGTGTCAGAGAGGCAACGAGAGCCTATGATCTACTACACTGCAGTGCCGGCGTCAGGAGCCTCCTGCTCGGGAGCTGCCGCTGCAGGGCAGCCGGCACACACCCGCACCACGCACACACACGCAGCATCCCTCGCCTCCCCCCGCCCGCAGGTGCTTGCGGACATCCCGCTGGCCTGGGGGATCGGGCAGGCGCCGGGGAGACCCGGGCCCGGGGGAGGCGGGTGGGAGGGCCGTATTTCCCTGAAAAGCCGCCGGCTCCCCCGCCCGCCGCATCCCGGCCGCCCCGAGCGGGAGGGAAGGATGCAACAGCAGCAGCGTGACCCACCGGGCCAGGCGGCCCGGGGCAGCCGCATTTGCATTTCTTATGTAATGCACCGCAAGTTTCCCCTGTCGGAGCCGGACCGGATCGAAGCTCATGATGCCGGTTGCAGGCAGCCATGGGGCCGGGGGCCGAGCGGAGGGGTCAGCCCGGCAGCGGGCGACAGGGTTGGGGGGGGGCACAGCGCCTCACTCTCCGTCCGGGCAGCGGCCCAAAGAAAGTCACCCTTTCCTCACCGCCCCACTCTGGCCCGACGTTCCAGGGGGGACTGCTAAGGTGGGGGGGCTTGACTTCAGAGAGCTGAGGGAGGTGGGTGGGTGCGGAGGGGGGAACGCGCTGTAAATCGAGCACAAAGTGAGGTACGTGGCCGGCTGGCAGCAGCACACACGAGGCCGGGCCCCCTCCCAGCCGGCAGCCCCGGGGATGGGCTCTGGGAACAGTGGGGAGAATGAACCGGCTGCCCCTCCGATATAAAAGTTTCATCCTTAGAAATAGCACACGAAACTAAGAGATGCAGCCCGGCCTGGGGTCGCCTTTGGTCATAGATATCTATACATTTTCTCCGTGGTGACAGTGGCTGAAGCTAATCTGTACCGCTCCTTGCTTATTCATACACATACATGCATGTCCGTGCCGGCCTCGCTCTATCCCCCCTTCTCGGCAGGATTGCAGATCTACCTCGGCGAGCAACAGACAGGGCAGCATAAAGGAAAACAACGCGGTGCAATGCATTGCTTACCAGTTTGGTTCTTGTTTTTCTTAAGACTCTTGCCACAAAGACACTGCAGCATATGCGATCCTTTGCTGAAAATGTTCCAAAGAAACCACATTGATTTGGGCGAAAAGCAATCCAGCAGCTTATACACCCTGAGAAAGAAGAGATCCTTGCGGTTGCATAATAATAAATTGAGACCAGTTCTCCTGAAGAGGGGCACCAGTTTTATCATAGAAAAGGCGGTTATATTCCGATCTTCTCACAGTTTTTGTTGGTTTTTATTTTGTTGGTTTTTGTTGGGTTTTTTTTGTTGTTGTTGGTTTTTGTTTTTTTTTTTTTTTTTCTTCACGTGGTATATTTCTTTGAGACTTTTCAATGGATGCTTTTTTTTTTCAGCCGGGCTCAATGGTTATTCCCCTTAGATCAACATTGGATTATAACCAAAAGCGTGAAGAGACACACACACACAAAAAAAAAAAAAAAAAAAAAAAAAAAAAAAAAAAAAAAAAAAAAAAAAAAAACAAAAAGAAAAAGAAAAAAAAACCAAAAATCCTTTTTTCAGCGCGAAGCCAAACGAAAAGTAAGGTAGAGAAATCCCGGCCGAGGCCAAAACCTCATCGGAGACACCGGCAGAACGCGGCAGAAGGATCCCCAAAGAGACAACCATAGCCTGGCACTTGACTGCTAGGAGGATGGGTGGATCTGCAGAACAAAAGCCACGGCAGGATCCATCCTACTGAACGACTGCCATTGTGCAGCCCCGCGGCGGGAGAGCGCACCACCAGCACCCGGCGAAGCCCGGCTTGAGGCGGAGAGACCGGCTGCCGGCCGCGGGGCGGACCCCGCCCGCAGCCCCCGCCGCTGCCCTGCAGTCCCCGCCGCCCCGCGACGCCTCCCGCCCTCGCCCGCGCGGGCCGCTCGCCTCCGGCCCCGGCTGCCGCTGCGCCCCGCTCCGCCGCGCAGGAGGCAACAACCCCCCGCCCCGCGTCGCCCGCCTGCCCGCCCGCCCGCCGCAGCCTCGGCGCCCAGTCGCCGGCGGGCGCCGGGGGAGGAGGAGCCGCGCTGCCCCGCCGGCCCGGCTCGCCGTCACGTACCCACGTGCGGCAATGCTCGGAGCGGATCGGCACCGCTCGGCTCGGCCGGCCCCGCAGAGAGAGCGGGCGGCTGCGGATCGCCTCGCCACCCCCTCCTCCTGCAGCCCACCCCCACCCCCACCCCACCCCGAAGGTCCCGACCCTTGGAGTCTCACCCTCCCCCAAAACAGACTTCTATTCGTAAAGTGGTCTCAGTGATAGGAAAGGCCAACGCAGCCGTGGGCCACATAAATCAATCCCCAAACGGTGTTTCTGGATGCTGTCCCTGCTGGTGTCATGCTTGTACAGAGTTCTGGTCAGGCTCGAGTTTGCTCCAGTGGGGACAAAAGCTGAAGAGCAGCCCTGATGGCTGATTCAGCCTGATGGCAGGCTGAATCCCAACCAGCAAGTATGCACTGGCAGCCAAAAAAGCCAACCCTTCCCTGGGGTACATCAAGCCCAGCACTGCTACTGAGCAAGGAAAGAGGTTGTCCTGCTCTGCTGTGTGCTGTGTGACCTCACCTCCTGCATTGGATGCAGGTTTGGAGCCACGGTATCAGAGGTACCTATAACTATTAGAGAGCATCCAAAGGAGGGTTGTGATGATGGTGGAGGGTCTGGAGAGCACAGTGTGTGGGGAGCAGCTGAAGCCCCTTGGTTTGCTCAGCGCAGAGCAGAGGAGCTGAGGGGAGGCCTGATGGTGGCTGCAGCTCCTCACTGGGAGTGAAGGGGAAGCTCTGAGCTCTGCTCCCTGAGACAGAGACAGGGCTCGAGGGAACAGCATGGATCTGTCAGGGGAAGGGCAGCTGGGGGTTAGGGAAAGGGGCTGCATCACAGGGCAGTAGGCATGGAACCCACCCCAGAGCTGTGGTCACAACCCCATGCTTCCAGAGTTCATGGAGTGTTTAGACACTGCTCTCAGACCTTAGGTTTGGATTTCAAGTGGTGGTGTGTGGAGCCAGCAGTAGGACTCAGTGATCCTTGTGGGTTCCTTCCAACTCCGGATATTCTATGACTCTATGACCCTATGATTCTGTGGTATTTGCATGGTGGAGTTCTGGGCCATGACTGGGATTCCCAAGCGCTGCAGTGCAAAAATAACCCCACAAAGTTCCCTTTCCTGAGCAGGGCCACTCGCTGCAGTCCTACACAGGGAGCTTCACCCTTGCACCAGGGCGGCACCTTCTGGGCTCACTGCACAGACTCAGCCCTGCAGCAAGGTGATGTCACCCACTCCTGGCAGTTGTGGCACTGGAAGAGATGGAAGCTGATGCACATGTTGTCCCTCTCCAAGTGCTCTTCTTGACTGTGTGAGTTCTGGAAGGTACTGGAAGTGATGGGGTGTAGACCATAAAGAAATGAGGGAAAAGATGATGAAGTAGAAGTAGAAAGGCACTGCTGGAAAAAAAAAAAAAAAAAAAAAAAAAAAAAAAAAAAAGTGGAAGGAAGAATAGGTGAAAGAAGTAGGACAGTGAACAGTTCTCTCTCCTCTCCTGCCCTTCTCCTATTGCTGGAGTTACCCTTGTCCACCATGGATAGAAGATGTCCACATCTGGATCATCTTTACTTCTCTAGACAAAGGTTGACAATTAATTTTTTCCCAAATTAAAAAATGGAAGTACTAGGAGACTATTTCCGTCTGTGACTGTTTTAACTATTTCACTCATCTATGGTCAAAGTTTGGTGTTTTCTCCTGAAGCACCTGGATGATAGGATAGAGCCCACCCTCAGCAAGTTTGCTTATGATACAAAGCTGTGAGGAGTGGCTGACACTGCAGAAGGCTGTGCTGCCATTCAACAGGACCTGGGAAGATTGGAGAGTTGGGCAGAGATGAAGTTCAACAAGGGCAAGTGTAGAGTTCCTACACCTGGGACTACACCTGGGGAGGAATAACTGCACACATCAGTACAGGTTAGGGGCTGACCTGCTGAAGAGGAGCTCTGCATTGAAGGGTTTGGTTGCCCTGATGGGCAACAGGTTGGCCATTAGCCAGCAGTGTGCCCTGGTGTCCAAGAAGGTCAATGGGATCCTGAGGTACGTTAAAAAGGGAATGTCCAGCAGCAGGTCAAGGGAGGTGATCCTCTCCCTCTGCTCTGCTCTGGTGAGGCCACATTTGTAGTACTGTGTTCAGCTCTGGGCTTCTCTGTTCAAAATGTCAGAGTCCAGCAAAGGATGACAAAGATGATTACAGACATGGAGCACCTTCCTTATGAGGAAAGGCAGAGAGACCCAGGGCTGTTCAGCCTTGAGAAGAGAAGACTGAGAGGGGATGTGATCAATGTTTATAAATATCCAAAATGCAGGAGGCAATTGGATGAGGCCAGATTCTTTTCAGTGGTGTGTAGTTACAGGACAAGGAGCAATGGCCAAAACCTGGAACACAGGAAGATCGACACAAATATGTAGAACAACTTCTTTACAGTGAGGGTAATAGAGAACTAAAACAGGTTGTCCGGAGTGTTTGTGGAGTTTCTTTCTTTGGGGATATTCAAAATCCCTCTGGATGCCTACCAGCAACCTGCTGTAGGATACCTGCTTTAGCAGAGGTGTTGGCTCAATTATCTCTTCCAACACCTGTAATTCTGTGATTTTGTGAAACTGTTATTACTCCGGGAAGTATAAGTCTCAAGTATGTAAAGACACAGGGGCTTTTGTACTTGCTTTTCCTCCCCCATGAGGGTATCTGATTGCTAATATTTGGAAATTTTAACTGTCAACACCAACAAAAGTGTTGGGAGCTGAAATTTTCCAGTAGTTATAATTTTAGTGAGATTCTGGATTTATGCATATAGATGTACTGCTTGATTGCCAGATCTCTATCTATGTAATGCTTAAACATCATTATGCTGTTTTATGGAGATGAAGAATAGTGAACAGAAATGGAGGCTTATATTGAAGTGGCCCATGGAGTTTGCAAAACACCATAAACAAAGTGTCCTTCCCTGTGTGCCAGTGTTGCACAGGCTGCTGGGAAGTCGAGCTGGCTTGGCCACCTTGCAGCCAGCTGGCTGGGAGTGTGCATCAGCCCTGGTGCTTTTCATGGGAGCTCATATGTCACTGCCCCCCTACAAACATAAAATTGATCTAGAGTCTTCTCAAAATATCAGAGATCCCCGTCTATCTTTCAATGACCACAAGAGCCAACGTTATGTAGCTGGGAACAGTCTGTGATCTGTAGAAAACAATCAGTCATTGACAAGCCTCCCACCCCAGTAATTGCTTTATAACCCTCCTTCAGGCCAGAATGTAACTCTCTATTTCTAAATGAAAGTAGAACTTCTCCTTAGCATCTCGCTATCATTCAGATGTCAGCAGCTGTAGCTGCAGAGCCGAAGGGGTCTGGTTCTGGAGATATGTTATTTAAGGTTTACTGGAGTTAGAACAAAGCAGAAACTCTGTGTCTCTCCTGAGGAAAACATCCTTCATCTTGTGTGCCTAGTAACTTAGTACCCGCAGGGAGGTCCCCAAAACACAACAAGCCTGTAGTGGAATGCCTGAGCAGGATAGAAAATTGTTCTGATTTCCTCTTTATGCAAAGTGAAAGTCAAAGAATGATCAGCCTCTTGAAAGTACAGTTGACCTAAAATGAGAAAAAAAAAGAGGGAGTCTTTTGTTCTCAGGTGAAATATGTGAAGTATCCTTAAAAAGTCTAAAACATGCTCAGGCCTATTTCACCTAAGCATAAATTATCCTTTTCAACACTTTAATTAATTTATAAGTGGTCTATCATTAACTGACACTGAACTGGGTGTAAGCATTTCATCACAGCAGGGAGATTCATGAGCAAAAATAAATTTAATACTTTACTGTGTACAGTGCACAAGTGATCCAATAATGATGATGATGATGGTGATAATAATAATAATAGTAATAAAGGAACAGGAGAAGAGAAGGAAACATTGAAGTATTCCCTCTGGGATTTTTATCTGCCTTAAGGACCATGAAATAACAGACTTTGCATGAAAACAGATCTATGCATAAAAGATGGTCAGACCTGAGGAAGAAAATATAATTTATGTAGTCCTTTCATATCAAAAGAAGAGAAAATTAACATGGGATATGTGCTCAGCTCTTTTTCCAAGGATTTCACATTTCCTCCCAGGGGAAAGGGAGAAAGCAGGAATGAAGTATTCTGGTCACTCAGGCTATTACAAGGTA